ATGATAAATGATTTTCGTTTGAAAGGGTGACAACCAACTGGTGTCTACACTAAGACGTTTACGCTAAACATCATCAAGACTATTAGGAAGAACAAAATCTTACACAGCATGTGAAAGGCTGAAAAGGTTGAAGGTTTTTCCTTTTGGAACTTAAAAGGTTTAAAATTTCGTGGGCTTTTGCGTGTGTCAAGTTTATAATTCTAGATTTGTGCCGCTACGTTACTTGCTTGCTTAAATGTCATCCTCAATCACACGAGATATTTTTCAGATATTGGTAGAAATTTTAAAACAAATTATCACCAACATCGTAAGAAACTGTTCCAATCCAAACTATTAAATTGTTAAGAATGAACAATCTGAGGTCTATAAAATAACCGATGGGTCTTGCTAGTGGTTTATGTAGGTCAAAAAGAGACTAAATTTTAGATTTGTGTGTATTTTTGACGTGTCCACATATAAATGCGGATAAGGCACTAAAATTTGTTCAAAACTAAGCCTTCTACAATTTCCTTCCACACTTTTCACAAACCTAAACTTTATAATAAGTTTAAATGATTCATTCGAATATACCATAACATATGGTTAATAGAGAACCAAATTATATTTAAGTCATTTAATCGCAACATAATTTTATTTAGTAGAAAATGTTAGCATATTAAGCAGTATTACTCTGTAGAAGACCCGACTACAAGAAAGACATAGTATTTATTTATCATTTATTCAGAAAACCTTTGCAGTGGTGTGTTTTAGTCGTGCACTGTCAGACTGACTCCAAATTTTAGTTCCAGCACCCGAGATAAAAATGTTCAGAGTCTCTAAAAGCGATACCCGAATCTCCGTCTCTCATCGAGTCTCTCTGGTGTCGCTGAGAGAGACTGTCAAAAAAACTGTTTAGCGTCTCTGAACGAGAGACTCGAGTCGCTTATAGAGAGATCCTCATTTCGTATCCAGTCTCTGAACGAGAGACTCGAATCTCTGAACGAGAGACTAGAGTCGCTCATAGAGAGATCCTCATTTCGTATCCAGTCTCTGAACGAGAGACTCGAATCTCTGAACGAGAGTCTCAAATCTCCCAATAAGTGGTGTCTCGATAGACATGGTTAAAATTTTCTAAGTTCAACATATTTCAGAGATCCCAGTCTTTCTACGAAAGACTCGGGTCACTCAATTTTTCAGTTTTATTCATTCAGTCTCTTTGTGAGAGACTCGAATCTCTAAATTAATAATTTTATCGTTCTAGTCTCTCTTACAGAGACTGTGAGAGATTCATAAAAACACCTAGGCAATAACTGAGAGACTGTGAGAGACGCTCTCAGAGACGCTGAAAGACTCTGAGAGACTGAAAATTTTTGTTTAGGGCAGGTCCACTGCAATATGGATTCAACTTGACATCATCACTTCCAGCCAATAATTACTTTCTGAATGTAGCCAAAATAACACTAATGTCATTGTTTAAATGACATAAATTTCGGGTACTGATAACATTATTTAAAGTTAGAGGTACGATATGGTTGCAATCATTTTTACAACTGCTGTCGTCAAAATGACTTACTTAAACTGGTATACCTACATGCCACTAAGGATTGTCAGTCTGACATAAAAAATGCTATATTGTCATAACTGTAGTGTTAAGACAGCAATAATTTAAAGTAGAATCTACCTCACGTTTTGTAAAGTTGACGTTCATGCAATGTAAAAAAAAAATAATATTTGGTTGACTTTTTTATGAAATTACACTTTTATATAATGCTAATAATGTTTTGTTTTATTATATTATTATTTCTTACTATATTGCTCGTATGATACTCGTAGTATATATACATTTCAAACAGGAAAATCATCAGTTTTGTTAAAAATCCTTGTCATAAGGTTGATCTAGCAGCTTATCAATACCGTACACACTTGTCTCAATTCCTCAGGGCATCTCTTTAGATGACAAAGAGGAAATTTTTTGGCAAATGCCTTTATTAGGATGCCTAGTGCCAATTCACCTTGCCCCAGAACTGTTTTTTTCTGGTGAAAATGAAACGTTATTCCTTATTGAACTCAAAAAGCAATGATGACGGATTATTCACTACCGTTTTGGTTTCTACCCTCTAGTACAATATTCTCCAATCAACACCCAACTTCTGAACTTGTAATTTAATTAATCATATTGACCAGGCTTAGTTTACTGGATGACGCTCTTTTTTTACATCCCTTCTCCACAGTTTAGGTATAATACTTGCCCTAGCAGTTACTATTTCCACAGTAAATAAGACAGTAATAATCGTAATAATTCGTAGTAACAAAAACAATCGTCTAGATTGATGAGACTAATGACAAGTAAAACACCCGCGTAACAGTTATAACGCATTAGATATTCAAAGAGCTTATCTGAATCTGAATTCGCGACCGAACGATTTGCCTCATAAAACTGAAGACTGTGGAAACCTGCTACAAGTCACGTTTTGCAGACTGCATGTATCCTGCAATTTTTATTATATTGACCTTAACAGAAGTCAATTTGACTTTTCTAATGGCACTTTTAACTTCTGATTAGGAGTTGCTTTGTCTTATCTTTCTGCGTGATTTACCAGGACCGGGCTGGACCTTACCTGTAATTTGAAATATGTTTTTCTCGAAAACGATGAACATTCCGACCTGCAAGCATTTATTTAATTTTTTTGTGTCCTAACTACCGCTATCACAGCTTAATCACGTATAGGTTTTCCAACAGGTCAAGTAAGTCCGGACCTTGAAAGACTCCAAATTTTAAGGGATAGCAAGATCCTCAGTATACAGTTGTTGTTAGCTGTAAAAACAACTCCAAAAAAGACTTATAAAGTAACTGTAACATTCGGAAACAATAAAATTGTATCTAAGTATACGTAGGAACATTGTCCTTTTTTCTTCAAGTGGAAGCCGTTCTTATCTATTCATATGCTACACATGAATAAATAAGAAAAGTGACGAAAACTTCAGTTTTCACAATAGATCTTCGAACTTCAATTAGCCGTTTAAATCTTTTCTCGGTTTATGACATCCTAAATGTCCCTAACCCTATTTTTTTTGTACCTCCCACATTTGACACAAAAATTTTTCAAATTTCGTCGTTGATATTATATTACCATCACTTTTTGTAACGAAATCTGACTTTTTTACGTAAAGGACCCCTTAGTACGAGCCCCCACTGGAGGGCAAAGAACTTCGCCATCGGTAACATCTTTGGACCACATGAATATTCCGTACATGGCCATTACTTACAACAAGTGCGTCTTAAACTTGATGTCGTTGTGTCGTCGTGTTCAACACCAATGTATCGTATATTGTACGTAATACACATCTGCATGTAGGTACGTCCAAGAACGCCAAGTGAGCTGTGGCTAGCCGCCAAGGGCCAAAGGGTTGACTCATTTCCTGGCTAACTTTTGATTAATGATGCCTAATAACAAGGCCGTGGGCACTGCCGTCCACTTCTCGACATATCGCATCACCGACCACCACAAGTCTGGTCTTATAGTCGTCCCTACACAATTATGGATGCTCGAGAGTGTAGAAACCCATCTTTACCAACTCAAGGTATTAGTTTCAAAATCAGGCGCCTGATTCTGAATTGACGGACGGATTTTCGAACAGAAAAACGACCATGTTAATAGTTCGGTAGAAAAAACCATCCAATACTTCCAGGTATTGAATGGAAGAATCACTCTAACAAAATTATTCCGGTAGTTGCTTATTTAACGTTTCTGTTGTATGGGGCTGAAACATATGATTGAATCTTATAAGGTCAGGTTGGTCAACGAATGATTTTATTCTTTATTGATTGATAAGTATTTAGATACAACAAATAAATCATGAAACGCTTTTTATCCATTTTGTCTTAATCCCATTTAATGGCTATTTTAAAGTACCCATAAAAATTACCATTTCCAGGATTTTGAAGAAAACTTTACAGAAGTATCCAATGTGTAAGGAGATAAGAAGGTACAGAAAAAAATTCTACAATTAAATGAACATTAGAAGATTAGGCGTTCATAAAAGTAAAAGAAGCATAAAAATTAAAATTGAACTATGTTCTGGCAAAACAACTTCAATAAGTATGTACTCTAATACCAGTGGTATAATATCAAAGAATGAGAACAGTAAAATAAACTTCAGAGCTCCAAGAGTATGGTACTCCCATCGTAATTTTTCTATTTTCTGTTACAAATCGATTTTCTTGTCAGTTACAAAAGTTTAACAGAAGGTAATTGCTTCCTATAATTCATTTTGAGTATCCATCACTTCGAAAAATTACCATTAAGTTTAATTACATTTCCTACCTTCCTAATACAAGTTTTATCCAGTGTTTGTGTTTTCAAGTTTCAATCGACTTTGTAACTTATTTTTTCTTTATTGGATAAGATTTTAAAGCCTTTAAGGATTATGTCCTTACAAAGGAAATGTTCATACCGTTTTTCTTAAATGACGCTTACCCATTGTGATACCTATTTATTAAGCTCACATATGATTCGATAGATACCAATTTTGGTTGGTTATCAAATAGGATCCGTTGGTATTTTTTTATCATTTAAAATTCTTCTTGGATCCAAGTCCGTCCTCTTGCACCCCTCCAGCGCAACAGAAGAAGGACGCGCGCGTCGTTCATACCCTTCAAATGCACGGCGGCACGCACAGGGTGCATTCTACCCCTGTCAACAGCCTGTGCAGCTCGGGGACTTTCCCGTGTCAGCCGCTTTCCTTCCTGATAACGCACAGTTTTTTTTAAGAGAAAATTTTTCTGATCGTGTATAATTGCTGGCATCTTGTCACGCTATCGCAGGACCCGCCTTCGTGAGGTCCTGCCCACCGCCTCTTGGAGAGGGTTAGCGATATTCTCATTGGCTCAACGACACCTCACGTGACCGGCCATCATCCTCCTCAATAGGAAAGAAACAAAAACAACTGTCACTAACAGTAACTGCGGACATACATGTAACAATCGTTTCCTCTTCTAAGCGCGCGGTGCATCTCGGGAAATTTGGCGCGATCGCGAAGTGACCGGTGACACTGTTGGAAGTGATCGTCATCGTCATCATCAAAAGTGCATTCGGATTTTTCACGAACATTATACTCAGTAAGATTTGTCTGGAAATTCCTACGTTTCCTTAGTGCCAGTGATAAATTTTTGATATCAAACTAATACCATGCATTTCCAAAAACTTGTGAGTGTAATTCCAATGGGACACCTACCATCCCAACCGAAAATTTCATACAAGGGAATGTAAACTCCCTATTGATAAGCTATGAAAGTGTAATGGAATATATGGAACAGTTTAACTTTAAGTGATTTGAGTGCACCCACAAGGATCCAAGCAGTTTACCCTTCTTTTGGAACTGGATAGACCGCACATTGAGTGAAAAGTGACTCAGAGTGTCCTGAACTAATTCCTTGAGTTTCTAGTTATTGTCAAAGTTACAGAAAAACCATTAGGCAATAGAGCATTTCCACAATACTTATAATTTGCTGGTCTTTTAATTATGAAGTTGTCCATTTCCAGGCGGATAGTTTTTATGAATTTATGAGTTTCTTGTTTCACGGGATTTCAGAAATGTATTTTTCTATTGAGAGAGTTATTTCACAAACTTGCTGCCATTACAGAAAATGCATGTACCGGCCTTTATAACATTTCGGTGTACTTCTTCATTAGAGCTACTCCTGATTCCTTGCAGTATTCCTTAAAACACAAGCGGGTCCTCATCGTGTTGTATCGGTTAAGATTTATAAACCACAACTAGATAACATTCCAAAACTCACACATGTTTAGATATAGTCAACTTTTTGGAAGACCCTGGAAGATTTTGCTGAACTTAACAAAATTCGGTTGATGCTTCAAAAGCTGCAATTTAAATTGGGTTTTTCGAAATCCAACGTATTTCCTTTTGGTGAAACGCTCTGAATGTGATGGATGATTTCGGTAGCGATATCTCCGGAAACCCTCCCGTCGATGCGCATTAAACAACACTACCGAATGCCGGCGGGTCACTTGGAAGAAGGAGAGTACGTTTCGGTGAAGACGAGGCCCACAACCCCTGAGGGCTCCGGAGCAGGCAACTTTTGGTTGACCTCATCCGGAGCCCCTCCGCATGGTCCTGCGGTCCTTCCACTGGAAGGCTGCAATGAAACTGGCTTCATCAATAGTCAACCGTCCATGGCGGAGTTCATGACTGCCTTGCCCCATCTATCTGGAGAAATGTCCCATGGAAATACTGCCATTAGTCCTCAAAATCCATCGCCAGGAGGTGGATATCCCATGGATGTTCCTCATGGAATGGGATCCCCTGGCGTGAATGTTCCTGAATATCCATGGATGAAGGAGAAGAAAACTACCAGGAAAAGTAGTCAGCAAGGTAAGAAAAAGAAACCGAAACTTATTTTACACTGTAAAACCTATAACAAAATATCTTTCATTTAACAATCCACAAAAAGTTAACAAACATTTATTTATAATACGAAAATATACAAATTAGTAAAGGCTCTCGCAGCCAGTAGGTTAACTGATGCTGTTCTGATTCTGGTTTAAAGGTCGTCGTGTGTTGGGGTTGCCTCCTAACGTTTCGCTAGTATAAGTGGCGACCTTCTTTAGAAATCCTTTCATGTCCGATGCTGGATGAGGTCTGCACTTCAATGGAGATTCAGGGAACATTGAAGAAGCTCGTCACTCGTGCTAGCGAAACGTAAGGAATCAACCCCAACTGACGACGGCCTTTAGTCTCGAATTAGAAAAGCACCAGTTCATGGGGTAAGTGTGTTTTGGTCAGAAGCTAATCCATTCTACAAACATGAATATCAAAAGTCTGTGGACAGAGTCATTGTTTCTTCATTATTCAATAAAATTGTGAAACAATTAACTTACCTATGAAACTATGAAACTAGGTTCCCACAGACAATATAGCTATCAACAATATCTATTGAAACCTCCATTTTGGACAAAATATACAGGTAATGTCTATGAAAGTACCTGCTGCGCGAAGTCTCTAGTATGGATGTTCAATTTCTTTGATGATAATTATATCACTTGGGAAATATGATGAGATCACATAAAGTTATTAGGATTATTTTTTTAAAAAAGTGGGTTACAAATCAACACCTGAAAACAGGTCAAGTCCTCTAAGACGGAAAGGGTTACTGTTCTAACGTACCATTAAAGGTATCGGTAGCAAATTCTTGAAGTGAAAAGAATTATACAAGCATACAATATACTTAATCACTATTCATTTGTCAAAAAAAACAGCCACAGGTACAAGTAGTACTTAAATAAAATGGGGATAGTGTGTGAAATTGGACATCATTTACATCTCTACTATGATCAAATGTGTTTTCATGATAGTATGACTTAAACGGATTAAACTGATCAGATGAAAACAACACAAATTGAAACATGACTTTGAACTGCTAGCCTCTTTGGATGTTTGAAATGTATGTTTTTATTGTTAATATGAATCCCAAACAAGTTGACGAGATTGTAATTTATGGCGAATTCAAATCCAAAAATTATAATAAACCAAACTCTCTGCCTCATAGTTTACTTCAGGTGCTAAATATAATTTGCTTACCTCTATGTTATCAGCAAACAGGATGAGATATATATAATTTTTTGGTTGATTCATTCAAAGCTATTTGACCTAAAATTAACTTTAAATTCACGTGAGCATATGATTAGAAATAATCAATAATAACGAAGAGTTTTATTGGCATACAAACATTGCAATAATGGCTCCATTTTAAGAAACCGGTCGATAGATCTGCCGTTTGAATCTAGATATTCACATGACCTGGCTAAACGGACTGTACAATGTAAAAATTCAAGCATATCTAATAGTTTTAATAGGTACGTACTTATTCATAACATAACTGCAAATCATACAAATTATTTCCCGAATTTTGCATAATTAGATGTTTACAAAACAATAATTACTATTTATCGTTTGCTATGACGAAATTAGAAAACAACGATTTGAACGTGAATTACGTAATAAAATAATACTATCTATCTCACATTTCCCATTGGGGATCACTACCTGTGTTGAATGTTGCTTTATCATCGCTGATGCTTATGTAGACATTAACACTTTATAATTTATATCTGTGTCCAGTTTTCCAATCTAAACCGTCCAAGCCGCACGCATGCATGACATGGACAGTTTATGACAATTTTCAATGGATAAAAAATTCATAGTTTTGAGTTTTTTTGTCAGATCGTCAGTCCTAAGACTGGTTGGACGCCCGCCTCCACTTTTTGTTACCGATACGAATGTTTCACTTACACCATCGTATATCGTCCCGCGCTCGTATGTACGCGACTTTTATATGAGGGCACCTAGAAACAAAGGTGTTTTAAAATAACCCCCCAAGCACTGTCCAGGAATGAAGTCGATGTGAGAATTCGAACAACATTCACTCTCTTTTTGATTTAACATCATCATCATAAGGTCGTCAGTCCTAAGACTGGTTGGACACCTACCTACTCTTTTTTCTATCCTGAGCTAATCCTCTAATTTCCCTAAAACTAGAACATTCCACATCCTTAACTATTTGTGAACTGTAATCTAATCTAGGTCTACTTCTACCCCTCGTAATTCCTATTTCTGCTTCTGATATGTTTCTAACTAGCCCTTCATGCCTGAGAAGGTGTCCTACCAGCCTATCTTGCCTGTTTCGTATTGACTTCCACAGTGGTCTCTGTTCTCCTATTCTTTCTAATACCTCCTCATTTCTAATCGTCTCTACCCATCGTATCCTCATCATTCGCCTGAAGCTCCACATTTGGAACGCTTCTAACCTTCTCTTTTCTGCCGCCCTCACTGTTCATATCATAAAACTTAAATTATTTGAAAATGCTCACAACTACATGAACTAGACAAGAAAAGTGTGCTAATTGGTATAGTGAACATTATTTTATTCCGTAATTTATTCCTTAGCACATCTTCGATTTTCTATTTCAGTACGTTAAATGATAAGGTATTGGTTCAACTGACGGTCATGCATATGAACAGGACTATTTCCTATTATCAAAATACAAAGGTTTTAGAATTTTCATTAAACAACAAATTCCTTACACTAGAGTATATATTAAAGTATTACAGTTTCCGTTCTGATGTCAAGTAAGGGATATCCATATAGTCGATCGAAAGATTCACTCCTGTATTCTAATATCTCAACAGATAAGTACTCTCCATCTACCCATTTAGGTTCGTAGATATGCATACTTACTACCGTAACAAGAAGTCAGCGAAAAGCGTTTATTGCGTCACTAGTTGTTTTGATGCTGACTTCACCTTTACATATGCAGGATTACTACAGATTGTTACACTGCACCACCGCTGATATCATGATTGTTGAGTGAAAAACATATGTGGAATAGGTAACAACACGTACTGATGGAGTTTTCTTGCAATAAAGAACAATTTTGAGAGAAATGAGAAACAGACACAGTATTAGAGTCAAAGTCAGAATCAACATCGAATCGTGAGCCAGCCTCATGGTAATCCATTTCAGTGAGATTACCCAAAAAAGCTGAGATATGTAGGGTTGATAAAATGATCAATTCCAGGAGCCATAATATTGCTTAGAAACTCACAAAAATGTAATTTCAATCAGACTATAACCAAAAGGTTTCCACAGAATAAAATTTTCATCTGACACATTCAGGAGTTCTAGATGGACGATGAAGAATTTTAATACCATTTCACAAAAAATTATGGTATTATTTGAGTAACAACAAGATGGTCTGGAAAATCAAATCTTCATGGTGTAAGTGCAGATATACCTACCAATTACATTTCTCTGTGGAGGAGAAGTACTTGGCGTATGGGCGTTCCACTATTGACATGACATGACGCATGTGCTCTCTGCCGTAAAGTTAATAATCCACAGGAAACAGAATTACACTGGCATGCTAGAGTAATTCAGTAATTTTAAACTGTATCGACGCGAAGCGAAGCAACTCCAACTGGCCTGCCAGACCGCTCACGAGATGGCCCTTCAAAAAATATTGCTCGAATGCGTGTGAATATGTCAACGCCTACCACGTTGCATGTCGTTCGGCAATAAACTTTTAATGTTACCTCCAACGAACGTAACCCTATTAGTTCGACGAAAATGAATAATGCCACATGTTTCACAGAAAGAAAAAAACGAATTGGAAAACTGCATGAACGGAAGATATGACAGCACAACCATGAATCAAAGGCTGTTGGTCCTATGAGTAATTTCTGAAACATAAGATAACATATGTAAAATACTTACCTAATAATCCAACAAATCCAAAAAGCAATGGCAATTGTAACAGGTCAATTGAAAAGTCCCCGGCCTAAAATAGTCAAACACATTTTTTTTGCAAAATTCGTTTTTTTTATTCAACATAATTCCCTTCAAGGGTGATACACTGATTATAGCGATCCTCCAACTTTTCGATACCATTTTTGTAGTACGATTTGTCCTTTGCTTCAAAATAGGCCTCAATTTCGGCGATCACCTCTTCATTCGACGAAAATTTTTTCCCAACGAGCATTCTTTTGAGATATGAGAACTGGAAGTAGTCGCTGGGGGCCAGATCTGGAGAATACGGTGGATGCGGAAGCAATTCGAAGCCCAATTCATGAATTTTTGCCATCGTTTTCACTGACTTGTGAGACGGTGCATTGTCTTGGTGAAGCAGGACTTTCTTTTTCTGCAAATGCGGTCGTTTCTCGGCGATTTCGTCCTTCAAACGGTCCAATAACGCTATGTAATAGTCGCTGTTGATGGTCCTTCCTTTTTCAAGGTAGTCAATGAAAATTATTCCACGCGCATCCCAAAATACAGACGCCATAACCTTGCCAGCCGACTTTTGCGTTTTTGCACGCTTTGGAGCGGGTTCATCGTGTGCAATCCACTCCGATGACTGTCGATTGGACTTCGGAGTGAAATGATGGAGCCATGTTTCATCCATTGTCACATATCGACGCAAAAACTCGGGTTTATTACGCGTGATCATCTTCAAACACTGTTCTGAATCATCAACTCGTCGTTGTTTTTGGTCAAAAGTGAGCTCGCGCGGCACCCACTTTGCACAGAGCTTTCTCATACCCAAATATTCGTGAATGATGTGATGTATACGTTCCGTTGATATCTGTAGAGTGTCTGCTATTTCATTCAATTTCAATTTACGGTCATTCAAAATGATTTTGTGGATTTTTTTAATGTTTTCGTCGGTAACAGCCTCTTTTGGGCGTCCACTGCGTTCACCGTCTTCGGTGCTCATTTCACCACGTCTAAACTTAGCATACCAATCCTTGATGGTTGATTTTCCTGGGGCAGTGTCCGGAAATTCCTTATCAAGCCAAGTTTTTGCTTCAACTGTATTTTT